GTTACAAATATATTGTGGGAAAAGGAAAGTTAATTAGAAATCGTAACTTATGAACTGTGATTAAACTTATTAATTCTAAGGATGTATTGTGTTCAAGTTTCAGTAAAGATTTTGTTACAAATGTAAGATGGCGAAAGGAAAGTTGTCAGTTTGGAATCGCAACTTGTAAAAATGCAATACAACTTGTTAATTACACAAGGTCATTCTTGTGATTTCACTAGATTTTAAAATTCCTTATTGAGTCACTTAATTTTATAAGTTCAGTGATCCAAATGTTAATTTGAGTTATTCAGTTAGCTTTTTAAGGAATTTTTCTTACTCAGTATTAGTTGATTCAAACGGCTCCAACAATTCTTTGGTTGTTATTGTTGCTGTTGATGTGGTTACTCTTACTTATGCATTGATTTTTGAATTTTTGAAATAGACAGCATGTTCTTAATTCTTAAAAAAAATCTATCATTACTGCTAGAAAATATTGACAGCTTATTATGTACATTTGCATATTTTATTATTAACGTAATTAGATTGTTTGATGAGAAACTCAACATTTTCACTTGAATTTTAAATTTGAGAGTTTTTTAAATAAAAAAATTCACATTACATGAGCATTTTCTCTGATTATGACTTAATTTGACCACTTAAATTTGAATAATTATATGATAATAACAAATATCAAATGCGCTGTTGAAAAGAAAATAATCACACATACTTTCTGCAATGAAAGGTGCTTTAATTAAATTTCTTTCAATAAAGAAAGCGTCATCAAGCTTTTCTATTGGCGATCGTGAGGAAATTGGAGGTGCAATATATTAATGTGACAAGACATGTCAGATAATGTGTGAGTTAATGATTTAGTTTTATATTTAATTTCATTTTTTCAAAAATCAAACACTTAGTTAATTTCAAAAACAATAAACTCCCTGCAAATTGATTCTTTACTATTCTTTAAGTTTCTTGAAAATTCTTGGGACGAAAATTCCTTATTTTTGAAACTAATGAATTTATGCAATCATTTTAGTTTTTAAGATTAAAGTTAAAAGTTAAGTTTATTATCTAGCAGACGGACCGACCAGGGAGATTGTATAATTGAAAAGAGATAACACAAAGTAATTTTGGGGGAAAAAAAAGGAAAAGAAAGACAAAAGAAAATAAAACCGGAAATGGTTTACCAAATGACGAAGGAAATATAAAGTCAATATAATAATATCAACTCAAAAGAAGGTTCAAGAGCTTATTTTGTGGCTACCGAAAGCTCAACAGCTTGAAAATAAATTGATTAGATAAATATCCATATATTCAAAGAGATAATGATAAAAAATAATATTACCTCAAGTCCTAATTATACGATCTTGTTTATAGTCTACAAACAAAATTTTATAATTAGAAATTAGAACTGGAAGTAGTAATTAGGACTTGATGGTGTGTGTATATATAGAAAGAATAAATTATTTGCCGTTATTTTCTGAAGATTGCATAGAATAAAAAAATCCAGCTTTTTTGAAAAAAATCATTGTATGTGGAATTTACACCTTATCTTTTGCTAATCGTTTTTTTTTTTAAAATTACTCTAAAGTATCATGTTTATATAATTTATTTTTAAAAGATTGCGAAAAAAAGGGGAAAAAAATGAAAAAAGTGGGATTGACCCCAAAAACTAAAGAAAGGGTTAAAATAGGACACATCATGCCATATGCACCACATGAAGCACACCAAGTGGGAAAGAGGGAGTGGTTAATTAATTAATTATTAATGGCTTGTTCAAATGATGTACTCTCTCTTCTTTGACTCTCACATTAAATATATCCTCTTGACTTATAACACCCTCCATCAAATAAACAATACAATTTTCACATCTATATATAAATATAGATAATAATATCAGGCACACATGATATAAGCAAGATTATGAGTTTGTTTCATGTCTAGTAGCTAGTATTACTTCTAAAGTAAGATTATGTTAAATTTATGAGAGAAAATACCCTTTATATGTGGAGAATACAATACAAAAGAAAAGAAAAGTGAAGTCAAAACTTTCTTCCTTTTTTTTTTTATAGGAAAGCCAAAAGAAAAAAAAAAGACTGCACCCTTCTCATATTGTTTTACCTTTTAAGTAATGGTTTAATGTACAAAACAAAATGAGATAAACGAAAACAGAAATAAACTAGTTTACCGTGAAAAGAAAAAAAATTTAAATATAATTTACCAAAAAAAAATACTCCTCCAGTCCTTAATATGAGACTCAATTCTTGAGTTGGTTCTGATCCTAAATATAAGACCCATTTCTCATATTTATCAGTTTTCTCTAAATTACCCCTATAGATACTCCCTCAACCATAATCAAGCAGAAGAATGAGAGGGGATATTAAAAAAGATGATTATGGTGTTTTAGGAAAAATGTGTCACTTTTTTTATAATTAACTAACTTACTTAACTTCCTCAATCTAATCAAATTAGTTAAATGGGTTTTATATTAGGGACCAGATAAGTAAAATTATTTGTTTATCTACAAATTTAAGATGCCTAAATTTTTAATCAAACGAAGCGCATAAACAGTGATAATAAGTGATAATAACGTAAAAAACATGGACCAAACTGAGAGCTGGAAGGCAACATAATAGATAATGATGAGGAACCTAGACTTTAATTAATTAACCTTAATGTGGAAAAAAATCCTATTCAAGACCTAACAAAAAAACTTGAACATCATGGATGAAAAATGGAAAAACGCACAACGTGAAGCTGAGGTTTCATAATTAAAAGTAAACCCCCACATACACGCTTATTATTATTACAATGTAGAAAAGGAAAGTCAACAAAATAATATGAACTCTAATGTTCAAACTGGCTGTGGCTGACGAATATACGAATTAATTCTAGTTTGGTCTTCCAAATTGCAACGTACGAACTAAGGTTTCAGAATCACACATTTCTTCTAATTAACATGCACCACACGAAAATAAAATTCCTATCATAATCAATTAAAGCATTTGTGTTGTCCCTTTGACTTGAATATGATGCTCTTGACTTTAACATTTTTAATATAATAAAAATACACATGTATGTATAATTTTAAACATGACTCGATCACCACCTAATAAATTTGTTTCAAGCTTTGTAAATTGAATTTGAGTTTTGTTTTTGGGAGAAGAAAATCTCTAATGCGAAAGGCTAATCTAAAATTTGTTATTAAATGTTTTAACTTGTAATGATAAGCTATCAAAGTAAAATTTAAATTCTCTGGAGAAGAAGAAGTAGAGAAGACAAATATTGATAGCTACAGAAGAAGAGTTATGATTAATTATTCATAGTGGAAAAGACAAACATGTCCAACTTAAGACCCCAAAAACTATTGGTTATATAAATAATAATAAATATATGAAATGTTACTTTCATGATTATTGGATTGAAAACGAGATTATGGGTTAAACTTTATCATTACAATCAAAATGAGGCCCAAAAGCCAAGGCAGGTTTTTCCCCCCTTTTATTTTCCTTGTGCTGTTTTTTTTGGTTGAATACTCTTTGGTGTGTGCTTAAATATAAAACATAGTAAGATGGGAAAAAAAATTCTCTCCGGCCCTGGATTGATTAAAACATGTACCTCCTCATTAATTTGTTTACGAGAAACTTTAAAAAAATTAGAATAATCTTCCATGCGTTACATGTCACGCTGTCATAATATGTGAAATAAATAAGTAAAGGCAGAAAATTATACAAATCATTAATTGATCATCTGACCAAGTCTAGGGGTTCCTCAAAAAAAAATTAAACAAAAAAGTCAAACATAAATAAACGAACAAAGAAAGAACACATAATTCAATAAAAGAAAACATCCCAAATTAGAATATCCTACATTTACTAAAATTTTTGGGGAAAAAGAAGTCATATTATCTTTAGAAAAAATTCCAATTAAATCAAGTCAAAATATCTAAATCTAAATTTAGGCTTACATTTTTAACAAATTTCTAATAAAGTCATAAGGCCAATTAAGGATTTCTTTTTTAATTAAAGAGGGACATTCTGATCATTTAGTAATATTCATAAATATCTAATTAGGCCATATGACCTGCTTATGAATTTGTTAAAACTGTAAGCATGAATTTGAATTTAAATATTTTCAGCTAGATTTAATGAATTAGAATTTTTCCCTATCTTAAAGTCGCAAATAATGAGATTTTTTTTCTACTATCCCATGTATTGCATCTGATTTCAAATTAACATGACGAATCAAGATTTAAATCTCTATTTAATAAAATATTCATATTTAATACCCGATGATAACTTGAACAGAATTACCTTCTATTATATTGGAGGATCGCTATGAGCTATTAAAAAAAGCTGAGAGAGTGTTATCATTTATGTGATAAAATGAGTTGGAATTTAGGGCTGGTGATAGGCCGGCCCATCAAACTGGAAGAAAAAGTGCCAAAGCACAAAAAAAAACAGAAGTTAGACGAGCCTGTTTATTTAACAAGAAATTTAAAACTGTTTTTTTTAAAGTTTTTATTATATGACATATCAAAATATAGCATGTTTATATTTATTGCTTTTCGTAGACCAGATAGGGTAGAGAAGTCGTAGATGGAGGGAAGAAACATACAATGTCCTTATAGTTAGTTGTTTTGCTCAAATATGATCATCACAACACTGAATAGATTCATTATTGGATTTTAAATCATCATTTCAAATGAAGGAAATTAAGTTCTAACATTTTTTGTCTATAAAAATAAATACAAATATGTAATAACAATAGCCAAAATGACAACCCAACAATATAATATATCAATTTAAATGTTGAAGCGTTGAAGGATATATTTTTGTCATAACACATAGCCAGACATAAATCCGGTTCAGTCGATTACAATTTCTAATTACTTATAAAATAAATAAGAAACATAAAAAATTGAGTTTTCTCATCACTTAAATAAAAAATAAAATAAAATAAACGAACCCCAAGAAACGGACGAGATCGGACTCTTGTATAAATTTTCACTTCAGTCTTCATATGATGGATCCGCCCAGAAACGCAAAGCCAAGAAGAAGAGGCATCATTTCTGAGCAAAAACTCACAGAACCTGCAGAAGATTCCACTTCATTGGCCTTATTAGCCTCATTGTTATCATCTTCACCCTCATCAGATGACGCCGACTTCGTGTTACCGGATTTAGGCGATTCTGCTTCCGCTGCCGCCGCTGGGGACGGTGCCTGAGCCTTGGGAATCACAAAGTCAAGTGGAAGAAGCACCTTGTCTACCTGATATATGGCGAGCTTGTTGTCTGTGTACACTGTGCCCGTCACGGTGGCATTAACGGCGCCGGTCATCATGCTCACTCGGCTGCTGCTGTCAGTTGTGACGTTAAGTTGGAGCCTTTTTGGGTCGTCGCCGGCCTGAGTCTGAACTGGGTTGGTTAGAGTATCGAAGTTGGAGATGGAAATGAAGGAAGAGATGGTGTGGAACTGAAGAAGCTCGACCTTTTGCCTGTCATCGAGGGAGTTCAAGAACCCTGGTTTGAGTTTGGAGAAGGAACTATCTTCTGGGGCGAAAATTGTGAGTCCACCGGAGCCTGAGGTCATAAGCTGCGAGTTAAGTTGGTTGATTAATTGGGTTGTCTTCAGCAACCGTATCAGAACAGTGAATCTCTTGGCCTTCCTCAGAATTTGCACAACGTCAATGGAGGGAGCTTTGGGGACGGTGGGTGCCGGAGCTCCATTGGGTGAAGCAGGTACCAAAGGAACCGTATTGAATCCCGGCGATGGTGCAGTGGCAGGGGTTGCCGGTGGAGAGGTCAGAGGCAATCCCACCGGAGGTTGAAGGCGCCACGGCTGCGCTGAAGTGGTGGTGGAATGGAAGAAGGTGACAAGTAGTAGAAGAGAAGTAAAGACAAGTGATCTGTCCATAATGACTTATTTGGTTTTGTTGGATATGAAAGAATTGAGATGGCTTGTGAGGTTGATGAAGAAAGAGTGAGTAGAAGAACTTGCTGTTGTGAGGAGAAAGGAGAAGGATATGGGATTTTATAAGTTGAGGCCATGAGGGTGTGTGTGTGGGAGGCAATAATAGCGAGTTAATATAACAAGGGGAGTTCATTCTATGCTCATCACAATGATGAGGATGGAGTGTCCATCTTCACTTGGACCATCTAGATTAATTTTGAATGGTCCAGATTAAATTTAAATTTATATATATTAATTAATATTTTATTTTAATAGATACAAAATTCAAAATAAAGATAATCTTATAACTAATAATTTTTTTTAAAAAAATAAATTTATCATTGAAAAAATTGCATATCAAAATTTTTAAATCTCAATTATTCGCATCAGATTTTGATTGATCTAGATTGCATTATACTGATAAGTATATGTGATGCTTATCGTTGTGATGAGCATCAAACAAAGACCCATATAACAAGAGGTTTAGTTGAGATGAAAAAGATTAATAATGAAAGGTATATTTGCAACTTTCTAGTTAAGAAGCAATGTCACACCCACCCTTGGAAAGATAAGTACTTTATGCAACATTATTATTATTATTGATGATTAAGTGTTAGATACTTGGGGATAACAACCAACAACTTGGCTTTCACAAAGGAAGTATCAGCATCAATTGAGATGCATGTAACATGAAATATAATGTCAAGGGGTGGCTATTTTAGATGAGTACAGGTTGAATATTTGCATCAATCCAATTGTAATTAGCTTCTTAAGTATAATGTAGCGTCAATCAGGATCCTTATGGGATATATTTAGCTTTACACATCTACCATACTTATAACCTTTATCCTACAAACATTTTTTCATTTAATTATTGGAGATGACAAGTCCCCGTTTAATTAATCAGAAAAAAGTTAATTATTTTCCCTAATTAACGAGGACAAGGACAAGTCCCCATTTTAAGTAACAAGTTTTCAATTTGGACCCGTGAAAATGTAAGATGATTTTCTTCGACAATGCTTGGATATGATCCATTAGTATTGGCTATTGAATAATATATTAAAAAAATTATGTATCTACTTGGTTTATTATCATATCTTCAAATATTTTTTATGCTAATGTCCAATTTCCGAATGAAGAAATGAAATCTTATTTAATTGAATGAAGTAACTTAGTAGCATGTGAATTAAGTGAGTATTTGGTTTAGTAATAATTAAGTTGAGGGATAAAAAGTCTATTTAGCTGTAATCTAAATATTGTCCTGCCTAACAAATTGAAAAATCTAGTAATATCTATGAGTATCGACCCATTTGCATGTGTGTGTATACAAAGGCCCAAAATACTTTTTCCCTGACGTGTGCTAACGTTACATTATATATCATTGTATTGTGATATTATAATACTAACATTATATTATTATAATATTACAACTAACATAATTTTAGTATATACACTAAAAATTCAACAACTTCTTGAATTTTATGAGTGATAAATAGATTAAGCTATTCAATTACGCTTCCTTCGTTTGTATAAATGTGACAATTAATCTCGAAGACAATTTCTTGATCCATAATTATGTTCCTAATAGAGTAGTTAAATTCCTGCCAATATCCGTGGCTGGAGATTAAGAACATAAATCTAGTAGCCCAAACAAAACGTCCAAATAAGGACATCCACACCCTGATAAACTATTCATGCCAAAAGGATATATCCATTTATAAGTTGTGAAGAGTTTAATCATAGATAATCTCTTAATCATCATCAAATAGGTAGAAGATTAATTAAACTGCCATAATGTAATGTGCTTCTGATGCCAATAAAAAGTATATAACCCATCTAATAGTATTTGACATCCAAAAAAACTGCCAAATAAAATGTGTTCGAAGCTGAAATATCACAAATGCCGCCTTGTCTTGGACTATTGTAAGGAAAATTATAACCAAATTTTTTTTTTTATCTGGCATTAACTTCGAACCACGGACATTTAAAACACTTTTTACTAAAATCAATGTAGTTGTATGTAAATCTAGAATAATAACATGATGAACCAAGAAGTCTCCGGGCCCTATTGTTAACAATAGAGAATTATTATTTTGATTAATAGCATTTAACTAACCTGACAATCATATGTTTCATCCCGTATTAAACGCTGGACTATTCGTTGAAGGTAAAAGTAAAACGAAAAACAGGTGGGGTTTTGGGCCTTGCACCGTAGGTTGCCAACAAGTAACAAGAAGGAAGAAAAATTTACCAAACAGCTTTTATCATTTGACCATAATAGAAACGAAAAAAAAATATTACAACTCATCAAATGGGTAAAAAAAAGGAACATAAAGAAATGCGCCGCAACGATAACCAAAGAGTGGAAAATATAGATGCAACTCTTGGATCATCTGCTACTTTATATCATGGCTCCGCCAAGAAACGCAACCCTGAGAACGAGAGGTATCATTTCTGCTTGGAAACTCAGAGAACCTGCGGAGGCTTCCACATTATTGGCCTTGTTGGCGTTATCACCACCATCTTCACTCTCGTTTGCAGATCCCGACTTGGTGTTATCAGATTTAGGCGAATCTGCTTTGGCTGCCACCGCCGGCGAAGGAGCTGGGGCCTTAGGAAGCACAATGTCAAGTGGAAGAAGCACCTTGTCCACCTGATAAATGGCGAGCTTGTTGTCTGTGTACACTGTGCCCGTCACGGTGGCGTTGACGGCGCCGGTCATCATGGTCACTCGGCTGCCCCTGTCAGTTGTGACGTTAAGTTGGAGCCTTTTTGGCTCGTCGCCGGCCTGAGTCTGAACTGGGTTGGTCAGAGTATCGAAGTTGGAGATGGAGATGAAGGAAAAGATGGTGTGGGACTGAAGAAGCTCGACCTTTTGCCTGTCATCGAGGGAGTTTAAGAACCCTGGTTTGAGTTTGGAGAAGGAACTATCTCCAGGGGCGAAAATGGTGAGTCCACCGGAGCCTGAGATCATCAGCTGAGGGTTGAGTTGGTTGATCAGTTGGGTTGATAAGAACAGAGAATCTCTTGGCCTTCCTCAGAATTTGAACTACTTCAATGGTGGGACTTTGGGGGCGACCGCCGGGGGGTCCATAGGGTGAATAAGGTACCAAGGGCTTGTTTGGTATGAGGAAAAAGAGGGGAAGGGATGTGGTAGCTAGGAGGAACTTTGCCCCCATTCTCTTGTTTGGATTGCTGAAATTTTTAGGAGGGGAAGAAATTTTTTTTAAAGATTTTCCCTCCTCTGCCCTAGGAACCTTCCCCTCCCAAATGGAGGGATTTGGAGGGAAAATAATAGTTTTTTAGTTTGCTCTGACTAATTTACCTATAATTAGTTTTTAATATCCATATATTACCCTTTTAATCTTATATCATGTGAGGAACGGATGGTAATTTTTGTATGCTTATTAGATCATATATCATATCATAAAAAATCCTTCCCCTCTCCTATTTCCTCATCAATCCGAATAAGATAATATTAAAATCCCCTTGCTCCCTTCTCTTTTCTTTCCCTTCATTAAAATCTCTCTCCTCCTCTCCCCTCTTTTGAGCCAAACACACTGTAAGGGAACCATATCGAGACCACGAGGCGCTGTTGCAGGGGCCGGAAGCATCCGCGGGGCTGTTGGAGACGATGCCGTCGGAGCCTGAACTGGTGACAGCTGGGCTGAAGAGGTGGTGGAAAAGCAGACGGTGACTAATAATAGAGTGGCGGTAAAGATAATTGATTCTTGCATTTTGACCCCCCTTTTTCTTTTCTCTTTTTTTGCTTTTTGTTGGGTATAAGAACTTAACATAAGATGGCTTGGGAAGTTCATGACCAAGCTTGGGTACTGACATTGTACACAAGAGTGAGGGGAGGAACTTGCTCTATTTGATGATTTTGTTGTGACGAAAAAGGAACGAGGCATGGCTTTTTATATATAGCTGAGGTTGGGGATATGAAGGATAATGAGGATGGGACAATGATGAGGTTTAACTAGTTGGGAAGAAAATGTATTACTATTAATTCCAACTTTTTGGTTAATAATTAATCTCCTTGTTTACCCTAGAAATGACTAGTGATAATTACTAGAAATGAGATAGTGACTAAAGATGGGTTTTCACATCGAATGTAATATCACTGTGATACATATAATGTGACATGTAATATCAGAAGGTGGCCATTTTAGATGTGTATATAGGCCGAACATCTCCATCAATCAATCAGAGGATAATGAAATTAAGCAAACTGTTAATTGGAGGGTGAGGTAATTAATTAGGATTAAGGGATGAGCTAGCTGGCCGTATGTGTCAAATTGGTAGAATAAAAGAATCACAACGAAATTAATAAACTGGTGCCAAAGAACCTGTGAGACTAATATATACAAATGAATATAACTGAAATTCAACCTTGTATGTGAATTGCATCTATATTTCTTATTCTTTCACTTTCCAGTTCCTTTCTCTAAACGTGATGGAGCCTTCGCAACATTCATCTCGATCTCATAATACATTAATTTGTGATCTAAAATTTAAGTAAAGTAACTATTTAATTTCTCTTACACAGATGATAAATGAATCTACAATATTGTAAGACTGGTTCACCTCTAAAATAGTTCAAAATAATTTTTTTTTGGAGATGTACGATGTAAGTGAAGCAATTGATTGATCAATTGTTCATATCTTTAATTTTCTTTTACACAAGTACTGAAATTTAATCTGAAACCAGAAGTGCCCTTCACACCAGACCTTTTATTACTTCTTAATGGATTGCGATAATTTAACTTTAATTTGTTGGTCAACACAACAATTTAACTTGAGTTATGCCAGAAAAGGAACTAATAACGCGTGGGAGATGCATGCTCTGTTTTCAATGCATACAAGAAATTTGGACCTTGTGCTTAGATATTGGGAGGGAAGTAGAGTACGGTGAAGAGAAAGTTGAGGGGGTATATAGAAGGGAGATCGGAGTTACATGAGAGAAAAATGGGAGAAAGAAAATAGGGGGAAAGATATGGATGCTACATGTTTTCTTCATAACTTTGTTCTTAAAAAATAGGGAGAATTGTTTGGGGAGAAAAAAGAAGAAGAGGAGAATTAAACTCTCCATTTATAATTATCTCATCAGTTTTTTTCCCATTTTCATACTCCCTTTCTATGCTCTTTCTTTCTCTAGTGTTTCTCATGCTCTTTATTATTTGATAATGTTATATATTTTCAAATTTTATATTATTTTAAAATTCCGTGAAATCATTTTATAAAAATTATTCTAAAAAAATTGGATAAATTATATAAACTAAGATTTGTTATAGCTAGGTAAAATAATAAGTTTTGTTACAGGTAAATATTTTCTAAAAATAGTGAGGTTCTTATTGTTCTTATGAAAGTAATCACTTTTCTCTCCCCCTTTATTCCCTGCCTCCCATCTTCTCCAAAATATGGAAAGCAAAAATGATCTCTCTAAGGCCGATCTTGCAATGTTAAGTTCC